CGTCTAAAAATGCAAATAGCTAAAATATCTTAAGGGTTAATATGTTTTTAATTAGGTAAGTTGTTCTAGGCTGCACAGATAAATATCTAAGAAAAGAAGAAAGCAAAATGTCCGAGTTATTCTTTTTAACTAGAGTAAATTACGGCTATTGCATATGGCATTACAAGTGATTTCCACAGGTGTGGTTCCCCGAATGGTATCTTTGTTAACCAAAATATCTGAAGATGTGAATTGACTGGCGGGGGGGGGGAAGGAGACAGGACCATCTTGGCTTCTGTCTAAGGGCAGTGGTCTGCTGCTTGGGTACCAGTGTTCTTGCTCGTGCCAGGTTTCACTGGTGACTGAAAAAACTTAACTAAAATTGCAGTTTTGTTTCTTAGCAATACTTCTATTATTTTTCTTAATGAAAAATTGGTACGATGGGGGCGAACGTGCCTGTGTTGTATTGTTTCACACTTAAGTTGTGTTTGCTTTACCAGCGGAAAGTCACGCAGCTCTGGTAAACAGAAACTTTGCAAGACCAGCAATTTGTACGTCTGTCAAATAGCCAGCATTTTGCTTTCTTTGCTTCTTCATGCTGATTGTAATATGTGTATTTACATATGCTAATGGAGAAACAGAATAGTTCATTACAATTTTAAGGATGGTCACTTAGAGATGGTTGTAAGGAGTCGCCCTTGGGAGAACCTGAAGTCCCCTGGACTGGTTTTAAGCATGCTGGAGTTACGGGAGCAGGAAGGCCCAGGGCTTGCTGCACTTCACTGCCCCACACAATGGCTCACCCAGAATTGCCTTTGAGAGTAGTAAACATTCCTTAATCAGCAATAAAGAGACAGCAGGCTTGGTGGAATTCTTTTACAGAGGAGAAGAAAGTAGAAGAAACCAAAAGCTTGCCCAAAATACATATTGGTCTTTAAGTCATGAAGTTGCTAAAGAACCGATGTAGTGGTTCTGCTGTTAGTAAGACTTAAAACTAGAGCGGGATAGAGTTGTTCTTCTTAAAGGTCTTTTGAAAGAATTGGTATGTTAATACTGATACCTTGAACAAATTTAACCTTAGGCATTTTTTATTAATTCAATCTATATTTTTCCTGCAGTTTTATTTAGGTATAGTGACACAAATCCTCCATTGGCCATAAATTGTCATAGCAGCATTGATTCTTTCTCTCCTTCTCTCCAACCTCGAAGTATCGATATCCACATATAGCAGCACTGCTCTGGTTTATTAGTAGTATGCTGCTAAACAGCTCCCAGAGGAGGCTGCATTGCAGTGAAGGATAAAGGCTACATGTATATGGTGGGTGTGTATAATTTGAAAATGAATCAGGACATTAACTTTGCTACATAATTATGGTTAATTTTTAAGCTTCTGTTTGGTTTTCATTCTTCATCAGAGGAGAATGGAGTCAATAGTGAGTAGATTTTCAGTCCTGCTCAGGTTCAGCATTTAGGCCAATCGTGTTTAATGCAGCTTTTGGGCACAGAAACAGCTTGAGAGCTGCTCAGTGCCTCAGGCTACTTGCTGCTTGCCTAATTGGCCTGGGAGCACAGTGGAAAGAAAGATGAGACACCAAGTCAGCTGGCTTCAATATTGTTCCCAACTGGAAGAAACCTGCTTACTGGATTGAAGTGGCATCCAGTATCATAGAAATACAGCAACTGTTTGCTCAGGGATGGTGCTATCAATACTAGCTGTCCAGTTCCTTTACAAGAAGTTAGTGTGAGTGAAGTCTGATTCCACTTATTTTTATTCTGATGAGCAACACTTGAAGGCTGCTGAGCTAAAATTTATTTTAAGACTGAGCCTTTCCTCATCTGAGTGGGAGGTTTCACAAGGAAGTACGGCAGGCGCATGAGACACATTGAAGAGAAAGCCTAAATAATATCTGTAGATACATAAGAAGGAAAGTAGACATAGAGGATGAAGAGCATAGTTTGGGGAAGTAGGGCGGTGTGCTCTGAATTCCAGTTACTCAGTTGACTTGACTTTGACAGCCAGCGAGGCTCAAAATGAATCCTTCAGCAAGAGTGGTAAGTGCTGAGCTATAGATTAGCTATAGAGTTTGATAGATTTTCCTGTTAAGAAATCCCAGGAGGTTCTTAGGCTTTTGTGAAAAATGTGAGGGAATTGAAATATTTGGTTTTTTAACCTTTAAGTTGTTAAAATCCATGCTACTTTATTTTGTTTGGGAAGATAATATTTTGTATGCAGTTAACACTTGGATTTGAAGTAAATGCTAATTAACTTGTTTTACCTAAGACATTCATCTGTTTGAATGTGCAAGGAATGTAGACAAATAACTGCTTATGATCACAGTGATTTTTTTCTATAATTATTAAATATTGTTCAGTTGAGTGATTTGTTTCTATAATGATGTAAATATTGTTCAGTTGGGTTTCCAAATATTTTTATAGGTATTGTGGGTCCGATGCATTTTCACAGGTGATTTTATTAGTTGAGATCCTAACAAAATAGGGCTAAGTAATCAAACTTAGTCTGTCCATTCCTCTCCAAGTGTTACTTTTCCTGTTAATAACTTCTAAACTTGTTGACAAACTGCTTTGACTTGAAAGGGCAGGGATCTTGAAGATAAATAACTTCTAATTTTTCCAAAATCAATGGTGACATACAGATTGAATGTTGCTATTAGTGCTTCTGCTGAAGGAGAAGACATAACTTGCCCATTATATGTTATTTTCTGGTAGCATCTGACTGGCAAACCAGCTTGTTGCTAGCCATGATATTTCCTGGTTTGTTGCTACAAGGGGATGGCTCAAGAAATGTAAGTTATGGGAAGATGCTGACAGTTACAGAAATGGGATAAAGGAGGATTTCAAAGAACATGTAGACAAAGAGGTGAGAAAATAAACTTGTTTTGTTGTTTACAAAACAGCTACTTCTACCAACTGAAGACTTTCTGCAAGTAATTAATCTACTGGTAAATAACCAGTGTAATAACCTTTATTACACTGATCATATATGGTACTGCCTGTGTACAAACTGTCCTTGCAGTTGATGAAAGTTTGCATGTAGGACAACTGCAGATGACAGAAGAGCATTTTTCCTGACTGTATAGTAATTATTTATTACAGTGAACCTAAACAGGTAGTAATACAAAGTGAGAGACAGAATATTCTATGCCTTAGAATTGTCCTATATTATATTACTATGAAAATCTGTCTTGTATTTAAAGTACTGCTTGCTTAAATGCTGCCTATCTTTTTAAATTGATGAAGTTAATTAGTTTCAAACTTAGTGTGGAGAGTTTTAACCCAGTTTAGACATTTGGTTCTTAATAATTTTGCCTAGATGTTTTTCATACAAAATCAAGTTTAAATAGAATGCAATGAAAGCAATGAGACTGTAGGACATCATTTTGTCCACAGGATCCCTGATAGGAAAGAAATTACCTAACCTAATATTTTTTTTTCAATTTGATTTCAGTGAAACCAATCCCACCTTATGTAAACAAGTTCTCATAATCAAAGTTAAATTTGCAGGGCTGTCATCTAAGGAGATTTTTGGTGAACAAAATACACTTAAATATCTGGCATCTTTTTCCTCCCTATCTTCCACACGTAAAAAGTCATTAGAACATACATTACACTTTCTACCATACTTCTAAAAACATTTAAGCAATGTTCTTTTTTCGTCCATTACAGGACTTTTACTTTGAAGATTATTGAAATTTTATAGAAGAGCAAGTGAAGTAGTTAATCAAATGCCCATCAACTCCTCAGATTCTCTAACTCCTGATTAACTAGTTATCCCAAAGACTATTCTCAGTTGCGTATTACCATTACTGGACCTCTTCCCCCTCCCCAGATAAATAAATAAATAAAATGAAATGCATGTGGATCAAATCACGTGCCATTTTAAGAGTTAAACTGACTTTTCAGAAAGTAACAAAAAAGCTTCCTGACTTCACAGGCAAAACTGCAGACTGTTCGTGACTGGGAAAAAATGTGCACTTTTACAAAACTTGCAGTTTTCCTTGTTGTATTATTGATAGATTACAGTGAAATAGGCCTTTAGGATGGCTGACCAGGTTAGACACTTTCAGGTGCTTCATCTGCTTCTCACTAGCTTTAACTTCCCTTGCACTTCAGCAGTTTATATCCTGCACTTCCTCTCAGCTTTTGGTTTTTAACTATTGCAGTTATTTCAAAAAGGTGATTTCAGTTCTTCATCCTAAAGATTAGTTTTCATTTTAATTTGAAATTTAAAGCCTCTTTATTCTTTGATAATAGAACTGCCTGTGTACTTCACACTTGTGAAGGTTCTCCTCCTTGCATGGGTTCTTGCATTCCTCTCTCACCATACAAAGTTGAAGGTGATTGTATGCAACAGCCTTTCTGCTAATTGTATCTAATCATACATCTTTTGTATCTTATGCATAGCCTTTAAAGTGCACTTATCACACTAATTCTTGGCTCATCATGGTTTCAAATACCTCATTAGAGGGACACTTCTCATCACCGCTCTTGCAAATCATGTCTGTTTCTCACAAATGATTACTTCTTACATGTGAAAGGGGAAGCTTCCCTCTATACCAGCCAGCCTCATCAGCCCTGGAGTTTTGTGCAGTTATGAATCAAATCTAGCTGAGATCTACTACTCTGGTGTAGAAAATACAAATTAAGTTTGTTTCATTTCAGCCTTTCTAGGTGGTATTCAGTATCCATGTAACCTTGGGCAGCCATGTGGTTAACTATGTCCCCTACCAAATGCTTCCTCTAATCTGTTACTAGCAGGAAGGGGAGAGTTGCCGGTCCCTTTTTGTTGTAACCATCTTCAGACGGATGAAACTTGAGTCTGTTGCCTCATCTCTTTCCAAAATAGGACATTTGCCAGCAGTGATGGGAGAACGTAGCAAATGAGAAAGGAAGGAGCAAAAACTGTGACTGATATAGTGGGGAGCAACAGATGCCATGTGGAAAATTGAGATATACTCAATAAGCATTTTCTACAAACATTTTCATACTGATGTAACTTAGTTATGGGGTGTGAGATACGAGCATATGAGAGAGCGAGTGAGTTTAAGCTTTGAAGCATTTCAGACAGATGGAAGTTTGTAGTTGAAGACAATTTATGTGGAATTACAGGCTAGTGGTGTTCACAGCTTAATGATTTTGCTTTAAAAGTGATTTTATGTTATAATTAAAGAGATGTGGTGAAAGAGAATAGAAGGAGCTGGGTTACAGGAACCAAGGGAAGTAAAGGCCAAGAGCTGCTGCTGTTAAAAGCATGTCATCCAGAAAGAGCTATACCCTGTGTAAGAACATAATACAGAGAATTACAGGTTACTCTTAGGGCACTGACTAAAGCTTGCACTGTTGGCCAACGCAGGTTTCTTTGAATAAATTATTAAAGGCACTATCACAATAAGTGAATCCGAAAACATGCTTTGACATCTGTATTACGAATTGTATTAAAGTATATACTTATCTAGAACAGAACAAAGCTGTGTCTGAATCAGCACAAAGTATTTGATATTCAGCGGCAGCCAAAAAAAAAAAAAAAAGCTGTAATACTGTGGTTTTTATTTTCCAAATAGGCTTTTAGCACTTGAAGCAGAGTTCAATTACTCAGAGTATTGCCCTTTGCGTAAAAGGAAAAATGGTTTATTTGCAGTGTACTCACCTTGCCAAAATGTCTTGTTCATAGCTTGCTTTTCCATGTTTCTTTCTTTTTGATGTATTTGATGCATTTCAATACTCGGCGATCACTCTTCACCTTAATGTTAACTGTTTCGTAAGCACCTCTTGCTTCTATTCTTGTCAAACTTGAAATTAATAAATCTAATTGAATTTTTGCACACCCATTTATTGTAATGCTTAACACTTGGGGCTTGTATCAGTTGAAATAACAAAACAATGGTTTCATCTGAATTCCAGCGCCTCTACACAGTTAATTGACTAAATCTCTAGTGTTACTATTTCTGTTGTTTTCAGAAAATTCATATTCTCCAAATTGCTTGAGCTATTCCTTCTATTATAATTTTTAAATGAGTGTTTTATAGAAATTATTTGGGATATTTTGGGGATGTCACCATTTTGATAGTGCATGATAGACATTTTTCTTTAGAGACAATGGCTTTCAGTAACATTAGTGTGAGTCACAGAACATGGTATGTGTTCCCTAAGCGTATTGTTTTCTAGTCTTCATGTTCTATGTCAGACTAACTCGCCTTTTATCATTCATACATTTTATAGACTAAGTTTTGCTTCAGATGTGTCAAATATATGTGACAGCCAGTGTTTCCCTTACTGCTGAGGACTTACTGCTTTTCACCAGGTTATTTGTGTTCTATGGTTTGAACTTCAAAATTGGTGATATTTACATTGAAATTTTGTATTTGTTATCCTTAACAGAAAGGGCTATTGCCAGACATGAAGTCAGAGAAATAGAACAACGTCATACAGTAGATGGCCCCCGACAAGATGTGGCACTGGATGAAGAAGATGATGTGGTGATTATTTACAACAGAGTACCTAAGACTGCCAGCACATCCTTCACAAATATTGCCTATGATCTTTGTGCGAAGAACAAATATCATGTTCTACATATCAATACAACCAAGAATAATCCTGTTATGTCTCTGCAAGATCAGGTAAGCTGCTCCATTTGGGATGTCTTTATTAAACAAGTGGAAAGTACTGAAAACTTCTTTGATATTGCAAACTTATATGGTCTGATGGAATTGGCTTTTATGTCACATTTTCCAATACAAATGAATTCTAATGTGTTTGTATTTTCTTTGTAGAGAGTTAATATTATTTATTAAATAATAGGTTTAGGTTTTTGCTAGGCTACTGAAGAAGGTGGTGTCTGTTTATCAGACAAAAACAAAGCTAAAAAGGAACACAGCTAGGGCAGAAACTACCTTTGTTGTTATAACTGTAAAAGTTTATTATATTGTCAACTGTCTGCCTTTTGGCTGTGTAATACTGTTTGCCTGTCATCTCCATCTGCAGTGAATGCAGTCTTACGTGATTTCCTCTCTGAGTAGTGCAGGCACTGTGCCATGTTGTCAGGGCTATACTTCTGTCTTCAGTACTAGGTCTGGTCAGGTCTCACAGGTGATAAAAAACAGGTAGAAAGAAGTGGTTGTAAATAGGTTGCACTCTAAAGGATAGGTCATTTTGCATCCCCTTAAAGCTCTCACTAAAATCAGTGTAGTCGCAGGCTACAAATGATCATGGCTACCACTGCATCAGATGATGAATATTTAAAAAAGATGATGAAGGATCAATGCTTTGTTTTTCTTGGGGTGGGGTGTGGTGAGGAAGTAGATTTTTTGTTTTGTGATTTTAAAATAATACTACTTTGCTCATCGTGGGTGCACATGCAGGGAACTCAGGCCACAGGTCTGAAACATCACTGTGTCATCATCCCTGTCTGTAAAACAAATGTTTCCAAACTCTCGGGTATGTACTACTGGTTGTATGCAGATCATCTTAAGTTGATACGCAGCAGAGGCAGGAGCTGTTCTGCATTGCAGCATGTCAGCACTGAGGCTTCCAGCTCCTTTGAGTGCATGCCTGCAGGCAGAAGCAGCTCAGCACAGCTGCTGCAGTGGGGCGAGGGGAAGCAGACATTAACGGGCCCTCCACTTTCAGTTCTGTATGTAGGAGAAAGATTGAGGTAGGGAACTCAGTGCAGGGGACACAGAGTGTACTTGGGGTGGGACTTGGGAACCTGTTTTGTGACAGTGGAGTTGTGTCACTGTTGGGTTTTTGGTGTTGTGAAATCTTTTCCTAAATATGAAGGTGATATTGTCATACGTGATAGCTGAGATTACCAAGAGTAAACCTGGTAGCCATCCCTATAGCCCTCTCTGCTGTGTCAAACAAGTACTAAAGAGCTGTGCGCTGACAGCAGAGTGATTTTTCAAAAGATTTAACAAACCTGTATCTGTTAATTAACAATCATGCTCAAGTCAGTGATACTTAGTGCTACACTTCCAACCACAGATTGTGTTTTTGTCAAGATGTCTCTTTGACTTGCAGTGGTCTGTCCTGAAGGATAGGAGAGCTAGTCATTGATGGTATAAATTAAACATAGGCAACCTTGCCTTAAATTTCTACTTTTGTTTGAATTTCATTCAAATAAAATTTATTCTTTACTGGCATCATTTTGTCTGAAAGAAATTCTCCTCCTCATCTTCCCTCTAATAATTACCTATTGAAAAATGAAAATCCACTAATGCTGGGCATGTATAGAATACTGGCAGTCCTACCTTCATTTGATACTATGCTGTTGTCCAAGGTGATAAATTATGCTGTTTAATTAGACAATTAATACCCCTCTTCTTCAGTGGCCATTACCTCGGAGATGCTGACAATGAAAAACTTTATATCTTGCATAGTTGTTCAAAGAAGAAGAAATAATCATCTATCTTTAGTATATTGAGATAGCAACTTGCCATTGTAAGTCATAACACATAATTCTGGAGATGGCAGGGGTGCTGAGTAGTAGCTGATGAGGTTTACTCTTTGTGGGCTTGGATTTGCAGGAAATATTCACATGCCACCTTCATCAGTATAGCTCACTTCAGTGCATTAGGTGTATATGCTCCAGCAGTAAAATACATAAACACATCATAGAGACAAAATTGTTTTGTCAGTGATAGTGTTTGTTAAAGCAAATCTCTCTAAGCAAGGTGAAGATTGTCTTGAGCCTGACATAAATATGTAAAATAGTGAACCTTCCATTATGCACTACTTCTGCTGTACTTTTTCCAAACTACTCTAATTCAGTAACAGATTTTAAGTTCTCTGCCCATGTGTGAAACCTTTAGTTCTTGAATGCAATCTGAAAAAAACCCTATTAAAATCCACTCCAAATATAATCTGTATCTGATTTGAGGTAATCTGAGAAGAGTCCCTAACACATTCATTTTAGTTTCAGATGGAACTTGTCACAGCAGCCCTCCTTTCTTTTGCAGCTTCTCTGACAGCAGGATCCTGGGAACTGCCCCTCTTTCCACAGGTTGGGCCTTTTCTTTGCAGCAAGCTGAGTGCCATGTTGCCCACATTGCATTTCTGACCTATGTGGTCTGTAACAAAAACACTTGCTTTCATTAAATCAGAGTAGTTGTTCCGTTGGATTTTAGTTGTTGCTTGCATGTTTCAGCACTGATACTTTTTGTCCATACAAGTATGCCTGTGTTATGGCTAGTTGGGTGGCATACCAGCCGCACAAACTTTAGCTTTTTTGTTATGTGGTGGAATTGTCATCTAAAACATTTAAAATGAAATTACTGTTCTGTCTTGCAGCGTTTATTCTTGGTATATTATTAGAAAAGGGGGTATGAGAACATGTTCTCTGTACTGTTGTTTTGAACGTAGAAAAGCCATGGTGCAATTACCCAGCATTTCATTCCCTCAGCTTGCTGTTTTCTGTTCCTTGTTCTTTTTTCTCCTGCAGTTTCTCTCTCCATTTTTCTCAAAAAAGCAACCTGAAAATATATAATCTTGCTTCCAAATGTGTTCTAAAACAGTGGCCTCTCAGAGGATAGCACACTCATGCTGACTTTAGTAGTACTTATTTCCTCTGCTGGTGAAGGTTTCAATAGCTGTCAGAAGTGCAACAAGTAAAAGGCTGCAGTGACTCTGTTAGAAGTGGAAGTATTGTCATGTGCTCCTGAATGTTTAAGAATTTTTTTCTTCGAGTTAGGTGGCCTGGTGAGTACTAGTGTCCACTGCTGTACATGGGCCAATTGTATTTTTCTTTCTGAGAAAGAACTGTTCATGTGAGGCGGGTATCCTGGCTGTACTGTGGCTGAACTGGTGACCTCTTGTCTTTTCACCATCTCACAAAATTGCTTCTCGCCTGCCCTTCCCTTGAGCTTGCCTGTGGTTTCTCATGGCATGCAGCCCAAGGTGTGCTGCTAGCCTGTTTCCAGCATTGCTGACTTTTTGATTTAGAGCTAACTGTGTAAGTTATTAGCTTGTATGACCATTTGGATAGCTAAGCTACCAGCACCTTCCTGCAGAGGGGTTCTGATTCAGTCATCTCATTGTGCTTGGTCTTTAAATCTCAATCTGAGATTTCCTTTAATAGGGACACTGTGTTGGTCTTCAATCTTACTTGAGAGCCCTTTTTTTGTAGTTCAAATGGAAAATCCCCATGTGTCCTCACCAGGCTGGGCTTGTGATATTGATGCCCCCAGTTATTGGTAATTTTAAGTCAGTTATTCAGCAATTGACGAACAAAACTAGAATATAATGATTCTGGCTGGGGCTTTGTTAGTTTCCAAAAGTCCATGTGATACCAGGCCACAGGGTAATGACTCTACCACCTTTTGGGGACAGAGGGTGTGTATGTAGAGAAGAGGGATTGATGGAAGCAGTTAGTAGACAGAGATGTCAGTTTATAGCATCACTTTGGTTTGCACGCACAGATTTCCCAGGGCTTTTTGCTCAGACCAAGTATGCTGGGTTTTTGTTGTTTTGGTTTGTTTTTTTCTTTCTCTTTTTTTTTTTTTCTTTTGGCTCACTGGGACTTGTTTTAAATTCTTATCATCCTAGAAACTGAATGTATTTAGCTTACCTTTCAGGACATCTTACGCCCCCAGTGGCTTTTTAATTCAGTGAAGCTCAGCTGATTTCTCACTAAAGCCTGTGAAGCAACTTTGTAGCTGATTATATAAAAGCACCAGGAAACAACTTCACAGGAATTCCATTCATTTCTATTTGAACTTTTAAAGTAACCTCAAATTTTATTCAGTTTGGTTCAGATGGAGAAGCTTGCTCAGTCTCTTGAAAGCTCCAGTATCTGCTAAGCCCTGAAAAGAAAGGTAAAATTGATCATATTTAACAGTATGAAGCAGCAAGCAATATTCATCTCTGCCCTAAAATGTGTGAATTCGGACTCATTAGGCTGTGACCTGGAACAATTCTGATTTTTGGAATGCTGCAAACTGGGTGTGTGTGTGGGGGAATCTCTTGCCTGCAGGCTAGTTATAGGTGTTAAAAACTTAAGTTCTCAGGGGCACAGCATGTTGCTGGTCCATCTTAAGGCAGATGTAAATGTCACAGCTGTCTTATAAAACCTTTCTTGCCTTCTGTTAGCTTGCCTGGTGTTAAAGCTAATAAAAGGCTAGAACATCCATCCTATGTTCATAAAAATTATTTCCTTAGCAGGTGACTTTGTAAGACAAAGACAATAAAGGACTTTTTAAACTATTACTAGAACATCTAAGGTTTGATGCTAGATGGTGGCATGGGGATCCAAGACAGAACTAACCCTTGGGATTTTGCACTTAAGATTTCCCTGTGTCTAGTCCAAATCTATTAGCAACTGAAATCTAGCTAGTGCTAGATTTCAGAAAGCTCGCTCAGGGAAATGTAACTGAAATGTAAGCCTTCATATGCATGCTGCACTACACACAATAGGTAGCATAACTGGTTTACTTGCGAAGTTGTATCAACCAACCATGACATTTTGGGGATGAGGGAAAGGAGGGTAATCCATACTTTGCATTTAGGAAGCTTCTTTCCCAGGTATAGAAATATTAATGACAAAATATTTTGTCATTAATCTTTGAAAGATAGAGTCAATAAAAGTGTGGTTTGTTTCAGTAGCAGTAAAGGTAGTTCAACTGGATTAAAAGCCTCATAGATATATTATCAGTTTGTGCTGTGGACAAAACCAGACAGAAAGCCAATGCAGTTTATGAAACACCATTGTATCATACTGTGCAGTGCTTTTCAGCTAGATTTGCCACAATTTTCATGTGCAATATATGGTTTAAATTGTGAAATGCCCCAGACTGTTAAACTTGTACACTGAAAAAATGAATGCTGCTTGTTACTAAAAAGTATTATGCATTTCCTTTACCTGAGAGTCCAAGAACCAGTGTTTGAAGAAATAAGTAAAGTTATCAACCTCTGAAATCCTAGACTGCAAGTTTTGCACATTTGAAGAAATAGCAGCAGGCCAGTCTTGCCTCTTAAAATCCTCAATTGATTGGTTATAATAAATAAAAAAAATATAATGTTTCAGGCCATTCTCAATCCATTAGACCTTACAGAATGTTAGTGTGTTGTCTCGAGCTCTCAAACCTTCCTTTTTTGACTCTCTTGTCTCACCTCAGTATCTTCATGGTTATCTATGTCACTGTGTAACAGAAAAGATATTGCAGATGTGCAGGGAACGCTATCTTCTAATTCTCGGCTTCAGAAATGGCATATCATTGTCAGACAGCTCAGGCAGTACAAATTTATCATCTTTTCTTTATTATCCAATTCACTAGTTTTGAAATAACTTTCAGAGTTAAATGCTTTGATGTTAAAATATGCTGTTCATCTAATAAAGCCAAGTTATATCAGGATTTGCATGTCCTGCTTAATTTGATGATACTTTCTGGTTTGGGGCTTGTATCTTATTTTGTTCTTTAAAATGTAAAGCTATTCCTATTTTTGTGAAGTTTGCCGATAACTGCTTTATCAGCCCTTATTTAAGGGCTACTTCATGCTTTAACATGGAATTTTCACTGCAATGTTAGGCTTAAGGTAACTTCAAAACGGTAAACTATAGATCTAATTTATACTGCAGACATATATAAAATCTCTGGATTACTCATGCTTTGTATTTTGGGATGGGGGAGCAAATGAACCATCAGACTTGTTATGTCCCAGTAAAATAGGTCTAAGAATGCGCTTGTAAATCTGGTACACTTTTATTCGAGGGACTAAATACAGATCAGACAATTCCATCAAAGGTGTGCTTGCATTTCTACATCTTGCTGAGGGAATTCCACATTCCTTTCAAATTACAAACAAAATGGACGGACAAAAATTTAAATGTTCGTCTTGATAATGTTTTTGTGGTAGCCTTCTATGAATTGCCCTTCTGATTGCTGTATTCGGCTTGTGTTTAGTTTCTGATAATTAAATTTTGATGATCTAAATTAAGTAATCTGTATGCTTGCAGAAAAGTCTATTTTAGCTGGCACAGATTCTTTGGTAATATTCAAACTAGACTTTTTTCTAATGTGTTGTAAGATTGTACTTACAAATCAGAAAACACCATGTATGGGGAAATTTAATGTGTACCAGCTGTACAGAAACACTTTCTGCTGTCTGCTTTTACAGGTGCGATTTGTGAAGAATGTGACTTCCTGGAAGGAAATGAAACCAGGATTTTACCATGGACACATATCTTATTTGGACTTTGCAAAGTATGTTACCCTTGGATTTATCTATTGAGTAGCATAGTAGTTTAAGTTGCTTGGATCCAGCTGGGATATTGGCGCCCTCTAGTGATAAGTCTGATAACTGCAGTTTTGAAAAATTCACACACTGAAATTCCTATGATGAGCAATTTTGGGTTTTGATTTTCATAGTTTTCTCTTGTCTTTTTACATGATAAAATGTAGCCGAGTCTCATTTTAAAACTATATGCTAGGTTTAGTATTCCTTGTCTGAATTACAAGCTTGTTTTACTGAAAATCCTGGCTTTTCTCTGGAATGCTGGCAGTTCTGCCTTAGGATTGGCTTCCCATTCTGGGAAGTTTAAGATACCTGTTCTCAAATATGTTTCATGTAACAAGTAATACCACCGGCCTCTTAAGTTATGTAGTTCTTCTCTATCAGAGTATCTGTTTACAGTTAATCAAAATATTAAAAGTTATATGTTAAAGCAGTTTTCTGGCCTACAGTAGTTTGACTTGCCGTAAAAAACATTGAAATAATTCTTGTAGAGTTAAATCCTGCTACTTCTAAAATTAATTTAAAAGAAAATGAGGTAAAAATCCTCCCAGTGACTTCAAAGGTTCAGGATCGTATCTGTATTCCTACTTCCCTGTGTTTCTTTTCTTGTCTTATTTTTGCTTCTGGATCTAAAGCAGTGATCCTAAGTAGCTCAGTGTTGTGAAACCTCCTCTTGAACTGGGAAGTCAGTTTTGCTTAAGCCCCTTACTAGGCAATGCTTCATCTTGCACTTGCAGTGTGCGGAAAATGGTTTAAAATTGAAAGTGGAATTTTCAGATCTCAGCATATTCGACTGCACACACACCAGTAACCCCTACTTTTACCTCTTGCTGATGGTCAGTCCTCAGTAATGTTATGTTTCTGTGTATTAAAACATTTATTTAATGAAATAATTTTTTTGTATGTGAGAATTTATTTTGTTTAGTCATTGGTTTTAATTATTCATTGTTAGGTACACTGATTTTTTAATCCTAACTTTTTATTACAAAGAATGAGAAGGGGAAGTGACAGCTTCACAGATTCCCAGTACAGTATGCTATATAACAGAAAATGCTAAAAACTACAGTAGTAGCTGGAAATTACCAATGGCACCAAACAAAACCTTGAAATTTACAAGAAGTAACAAGCAAGAAGTCTTAATTGCAAATCAATCAATCAAATAAAATGTATCAAATTTCATTAGCTTCCTTTCTGCCTTTTTAAATTTTAAAATGATGCAACATTAATAAACCCTTGAACTGAATAACAACTTTCTGGAACAGTGAAGGTGAATGTTATTTTATACATTACTCACTTCATAAAGCTGAAAACATTTTCAGATACTCGAACTTCTTAAACTAAAATAATTATTTTACATCTAGAAAGCATCTAAGCAGTTTCACAGATTTGTTTCATTTGCATCTTCCCTCCAGGACTGTGTTATCCTTGTTTTTGTTGTTTGTTATCCTATTACCTAAATGATTTATTTTTTCCCCACAACAGCCTGCTTTCTCATACTTTGGGTTTTCATTATTAAAATAATACCTTGAATACTCTGGTTGTGCTTGGCAAGGCCCACACTTTTAAGGCTGTGAGGTACGTTCTTGTAGTGAACATTCTTGTACTTGAGAAGTGTAAAATATTTCAGAAAAGTCTATGCCAGCTTATATGCTAACATCAGACTTAGGTCCACTGTCTAGTATCAGAAGTACCTCTTAAATTATACTGAAGCTTAAGTACTGGATTCAATCGATGACTTACAGTATTGAGGACAGATTGTCATAATGCATCCATGTAGAAATTACAGTAATAAAAGTTTAATTTTTTTTTTCCTCTTTTTTCAATTTTTGATCCACCCTTATTCACTATTTTCTGTGGTAAATGATTGGGAAAAAAGTTCTTTGACAATGCAGTTGCCAAATTATCATCATTATTAATAAAGTTACTATTGTAAGTGGCTTCTGTTACCGTAACTGAAGCTAGTTTTGTGAAGTCATGTGCAAACCCGTATGAATGTACAATCCAACACAAACATTTCCAAGGGCTTTTACACCTTCTTTGAACCCACAGATACATATTGTTGGTTGGGGCTGCTACTATATCGAAATGGTTTGTTATAGCCTGCTACAGCACTTGCAGTAGAGTCTGTAGAAAGGGACAAATGTGCATGTCTCAGGCACTTCAGTGGACCTGAAAGAGGGTGCAGTTTAAGGTCTGGACTTTGCATCAAAATGGTTGAAACATTCACATGTTCCTATTTTGTGGACTTTGAGGAGTAAGAGCTGGCATACAGGCAGATGTCAGCAATGCCACCTTTAAATGCTACAGTCTGATTCATTGGTACTCTGCTGGCAACATCTGAAGAATCAGTTGCTCTTTCTGTAGCCTTTAACAATTTATATATATGTAGTGCTGGTCTTTTGCCAAAGTAATGCCTTTTAATTTTTTTTTTCCCCAGCTTCCTCTTTTCTGCTGCTTCTTCTATGTTTCTGTTCTTCAGCTTTTCAACTTAAGGTTCCTCATATCAGCAGTACCTGGTATTATAATTTATGGAGTACCACTTTGACAATAATGGTAGTGCATCTTAAAACTACGAGCACTCTGTGTTTTAGCCAAGCTAGCAGGCTTGAATGACTCTCCATCAATGCAGAATACTTTCCCAGTTTGCATGGGAACAGAAGAGAATTTTTTTTTTTTCCAGCTCCTAGCTTTACTTCAAGGAACTTGTCACACTTGCAATTTCCATTGTGATATAACCTCTTTAATGTTTAGATACCATATTTATTTGCCACAGTAATGTCTCAAATGGAAAAGAAAATAAAACTGAGAAATGTATCATAAAAGCTTGAACGTAGATCACTGAAAGGTAGCATTTGCACAAAACAGTTTTGGTGATTTAAATCTTTCTTGTGTGTCCTATGAGCTTACCACCTCATTACATCAGGGTTCCTGTTGGTACCACGGTAAATCAAACTCTGCTTAGGGTAAATATCTAAGGCAAAATTTTGTATCTTTAGATAGAGAAGTTAATGTGGTTACAGATACTATCTTAGGCTTATATTTAATAAGCATAGCCATATGGATTCAACCCAGGTAATGGATGGGCTCTCAGCTCTGTCTTCCTTCTGTTACAAGTTCATGTCTCTGACAACTGGAGACCTGCCAGGAAAACCACTTGCAGCATTGCATAGCACAGTTCAGGGGGGCAGGAACTCAATATCAAACTTCCTTGTACTTATTATAAACATGTATGTGGCTGCTACACTGATTAAGGCATTTCTAGAGTCAGGATGGTTGTGTGAACATTTTTTGTATCTATTGTGTGAGAATATTTCAGTTTTGTTTGTTTCTCTAATAAAATAAAACCTAAAATCACAATCCTGGGAAAACTGAAACTGAACTGACTTTCACATCCACGTAATGCACTGGATATGGGGATGAGAGGAAGCAATCAGTAACCGTCATTGTCTCTGTATATAGATTTCAGTTGTATCAATAGAGACAGGCTTTTAAGTATTAGATGAGAGGCTTTGATTTGGCCTTTAAAAGACATTTTTTCCCTCCTTTACTTTAGATTGGGTGTTAAAAAGAAACCAATTTACATAAATGTCATAAGAGATCCCATAGAACGACTAGTTTCTTATTATTACTTTCTGCGCTTTGGAGATGATTACAGACCAGGGCTACGGAGGCGAAAACAAGGGGATAAAAAGGTAAAGTATGCTTTATTATATCTGTTGTTCTTACTAAAATTAAGTGAAAACAATTGAAAAAAATGTCCTGATAAATACTAGATAGTTCTTGTATCAGCCTTGGTGATGATGGTGGCTTTGTTAAGTTATATTCTCCCCTTTGTATCCATACTAGACTAGAGTGTAACATTAACTATGTTCTTTGTAACCTTATAAATTCACTTTATGTTGCAATTTGTTAAAAAAAAAAAAAAATTTAAAAAATGTTTTCAGGTATCCAGAGTTGTCAGTATCAAGTTAAACTTATTCTCCCATGTAAGAAATCTACGTCTCTTCTTGTTGAAGACTGAGAGACATTTTTCACCAAAAGCTGTAGAACTGCTGATGCTTTGGCTTTGATGTTTATTTTTCTTAAAATTAGCAAACTTTTTTTTTTAAAAAAAATTAAGTATTGCAATAGAATTGTATAAAGAGTCTGCTTGAAAACTGTGGAGTATGATTTATACTTTTCTTTACTTTCTTCCTCTGTCTTAGGTGGCTATAGAAGTAGTTCAGGTTAGCATATTCAAACCTTGATTACTGGTACAGTTTCAGAATGGCAACATCATTTAGGCTCCGTAATATATTTATTCCAGAAAGAATTTATGCATCCACTGTCCTGGTTTGCAGAGAGACATTTGTTGGAGAATGTTGCTCTGGACTCTTCTTAAATCAGGAAGAAAAGTAGGGTATTAAGTATGTGAGTATAGTATATAGTTAGAACAGTGTGAAAGCTTTTATAAAATGTAAAGAGGTTTCGCACTTTACAGAGCCAAACACTTTTTAAAATTTCAGTGGCAATATTTTCTTAAACTGATGAAATTTTTCTGTAATGTTGATAATTTAGTGTAGCACTGTGTGAATACCAAGAGTCATTGAAAAAATAACTAAGTAAAAACCACAGTGAATACAGCTTAGTCTGTAAACACCGTAACAACTAATAAATGTGACTAATCATTTTGTGTGCTCCCCTCCATCCACATAGGTTTTTTTTAAATATTGGGAACAGACCATTCCTCTTTTCTTTCCAGTTGCTAACTGCTCTTCTGTGATTTATGTTGTGGTGCCATCTTCAGCCACTGCATCTCAGTTTGTCCAGATGTGCTACAGCATAGGTAAAGGAAAGCTTCAAGCAGAACAGATTGAAATTAAGCTTAAAAAACCCCCAAACTTCATAGAACTGGCTACAGAGATGATTTGGTGGTATGGTATCATGAAGACATTTTTTAAAAAAGAGATAGGATCTCATCTTTTGTAATCTACTCTATTCCTTTTCATGAGGAGCATGATTTGGCTAGTGGAATTCCTTCCTGATGGAGATCAATGAGTTGGAAGGCTGAGCATGCTTCCAAGTTCAAGCTCTTTATAGGACTTAAATTTCACTTTTTTTTAATAAGTATTAACAGTGTTGGTTTAGTTTTGAATTATAATCTGAACAGCCTTGTTAGGTAGTCACTGGGAAACACTGAGGCAAAATCCCTAATGCTACTGCTTGGTAGACTGCACTGTAAGCTCTGATTTGCTGGAATAAATTGAAATGCATTCCTATTTATAATGTTTGTAATGCATTGCATTAATAATGTTACGTTTTTCTATTAAAGATGCTTTTTTCATTTTGTCACTATCATACCAGTTTATTTAGGTCTGAGACTTAGTTGTTGCCATATGGATTTAACTTGTCCTGTAGGCATCTCTAGTTCATTTGAAGTGAAATTGATTCACTATACTGAGTTTTAGGATTTCTTTCATTTAAATCAGGTAATACTATTTTTCCATGATGTTTCCAAGAAAACTGTATATATGTAGATGGTGTCAGTTTTACATACATTAGATACAAAATTCAGTAAGCTAAAAAATGGATTCACCCAATCACAGTGTCTATAACACTGGTATTTATTCTAATTTGTGTTATAGTAGATTCACTAGGAACTCTTCAAATGAAAAGTAGGGAAGGTCAAAAATGCAATCTTTCTAATGGAAGTCAATTGTTCCTTTATTAAGTGGAAAGGAATCTCAATGTACTTTACACCCTCGCTCCTTCCCAGTCCATGCCACAGCATTTATATGGAAGAGTTTCTGTGTTCATTTTCTTTCTATATGCTTGTGATTCTAAAGTTGTAGATAGCTTGGCTCCAAGAACAGAGTCTGTAAAGACAAGTGTGATTACTCCGTCTCTGGATGGAGTAGTCAAGCCAAGTATGTAAGAGGAAGTAGGGAAGGAGACCTGTCCTATTTAATCTTAGAAAATTACTTGCTTTTGTGTATTAACTATAAAATAACCTGCAGGTGTAACCAAAGTCGTCTTTCTTTTGACAGATGCCAGTTCATATTTAGTATATATATTCCTAATTTAGGAGGTGCATTTAAACAATTTAGTTCTTGGGTACTGTTGATGTTATAAAGTACTCATGATAGATCAGTGCAGATTTCTCTAGAGAACTATGCTAGAGAAAGCCTACTAATGACTTGTTTTCCTAGTTAAGCTGCATTTTTATCTGTGATACGTGACATGAAGAGCTAGTCTAAACTCAAAGTGCAATGTGGACCAAGGCACCACAGGTTAATCCTTGCTTTGGCCTGGTGTCAGTAAATTTTTCAGATTATCTCAGGAAATTCACCTCAAAATAGAAGCAAAGGGCATTGTCCTTGTTCTAACACTGAATAATCAAGCAAATGTATTTTTACTTAGTTGTGTTGAACAGAAACTTGTTATTATACAGAAGAAACAGTCTAAAAAGTTGTCTGTGTGATCACTTGTTATTAAATAATTTTTTAAAAATCTGTCCTAGATATATGGCTTATATCTTGATTAGAAATATCATAAATACTTTATGGTGACTGGGTAAAATGTTTACAAATTCTTTCCAATGCTAATGGAGTTCTTATTGTAACTGTGTTCCTGCAGCTGGAACTCTATGTGCTACAGCTGTCATCCATGTAGAGTGATGCTGTATGGAATATTCTTTATGCAGTGAACAACTTGACTTCACTTCTTCTAATTGCCAAAACCAAATTGGCCTCTGAAATGGCAGTTATTTGTCATAATATTTAAAATGTAATAGAACATCCATTAATCCACTACAAAATGCAGAGTGTTCTGTGGTATAAAAATCCAGCTATTCCAGTATCACACAAATCCTGATGGCATTTGATGCTGTATCTCTAGTGACTTCTTTTGTAAGGGAAAAATAGTGATACCAACACTTATTGACTATTTTTGCTTGTTTTGACATATAGCCTTTATCAATGTTATATCAAAGGCATATAAAATATATCAGGTAAGATCAAATTGTTCATTAGGTCTAGCCATAAAAGACTGTCCAAGTACTATCTTAATTGAGATGAATAGGTCCTCCTAATAACAGTGTGAAAGCAAGGCTTGAAAAAAATAATTTTTTTTCCTTTCACATCATATCTTGTGTTTTTCTATCCCCACTACATTTAGCAACTAACCAGGTTGAGCTGTTTGATACATATACCAGATTTTAAAGCTCAGCTCAATTTTCTCTTTGTTCCAGACCTTTGATGAATGTGTGGCAGCTGGAGGTTCAGACTGTGCTCCAGAGAAACTTTGGCTTCAAATTCCGTTCTTCTGTGGCCACAGCTCCGAATGCTGGTAGGGAGATAAATGTGGCTTAAGTTGTTAGTCAAGCATATCAGCGCTGAAATCTAAACAAATTTGAATATATATTACAATTGGGGAAAGTCTAAGGGCCTGGACAGAGTGAAGCAGCAGATACTTTAGTAATGTATTTTCTTTTGAAGATGCGTTTTATTGAAACAGTCTTGCAGTTCTTGAAACAAGTAGTATGTTAGGATACTGTATCAGCAGTGCTATGAGGGAAAACAGATGTTTTCAATTTTAAAAATATTTTTTGTAGATTTGGAGTCTTGATATTTTTCTCTAATGTCAGGCTACAATATCCGTCTTTCTGAATGGAGATATTTTGTTCAAGCTCCTAGAGTTTCTGAGGAGAATAAAATAATTGAGATCAGGATAAATTTATCTTCTTAAACCTTTACCAGACATCCAGTAGTCAGTGCTACTTAGTAGAAACTGGAACAAAAGCAAATCATGTCCATCTGTCAATGCAGCATGTTTTATAACAATGGCACAGACTTAAAACTCTTTAGCAAACTAAAAATAAAAAAAAAAAAAGATTTGAAGGATTCTGGGTAAAATCAAGGGCAATTATTTGTCAAAGGTACTATTCATCCAAACATGAGCAAAGTAAATGGCCACTTCGGAGCTCCTCTTTCAGTGCCTGTTGGTCAGACCTGTCTACACCTGGGCCAGGTGGAGAAGCGGTGAAGGAAAGAACTCTGAACCTATCTTTTCCTTCTATCTAGAGCTATAAAAAGGAGGAAGAAATGCCATTTTAATTTTCATCTGTTTTTCAGTAGGGAAGTCTTCACATTAGGTGTAATGACTTTCTAGTTCAGAATTATACTTGTAGGATGCAAAAGGGAAGGTGTGTCCTTACCAGAACCATTTCTGGTATCTAATGTGAAAGTGGAGACTGAGTATTGACATGGAGAAAATGTAAAACCTTCAAAAATTGTGTTAATAGAGATAGTAACGATATACACATGTGGGTTTTTTGGTGAATGAGTTATTAGTCAAAATAACTAGAGGAGTCAAATTTTTAGATAAGAACACAGATAAGAGAAACTGGAAAGGGAAATGAAGGTAGGAAAGGTTATAACTTGAAATGAGTCTTGCCTTTCCTATACCCTGTTATGAAGTAATCTCCATCGAGGGACCAAGGATTGTTGGCTAACATCAGAACTTGCTGTAATTCTTCTCTATTGTTTTAGGAATGTGGGAAGCAGATGGGCTTTGGAACAAGCCAAATACAATCTGATTAATGAATACTTCCTAGTGGGAGTTACTGAAGAGCTTGAAGACTTTATCATGTTGTTGGAGGCAGCTTTGCCCCGGTTCTTCAGGGGTGCCACAGAACTGTACCGGACAGGTATTTAAATGGTTGATTGCCATGGATTCCATGGATTTTTCATCGTCTCATCACTTTTTTTTTAATGTGAATTATTTAGACCTAGATGAATAGTTTTGAGTCTCTGACAGGTTTGCCTCTCCATTGGCTGATGTTCCTGCAGAAGAGACAAACTCTTTTAAAAGACTGTTAGTACAAATTTTTGAGGGCAGCCCAAATATCTTCTTACCTTACGCAAGTTGTAATTATTTAAAGTAGGGGTAAAGGCAGTTGTGTAGGTATACCACACCTAAAAAATTGTGACAGGAGTTTATCAGAACATTTCTTGAAAGGTCTTGCAAGGGCTTCAGTTTTGTAAAATGGCTCGCAGTGGCAGATTTTCATTTCCTCAGAAGCCCTGCTGAAATTAACTGTGCTTGGTGCAACCTGGTTGGCTGTGCAAAAAGGCCCAAAGGATACAAAGGCCCAAGTACATGTTTATCTTCCTGGGGTTGCAATAAGACATTTGTTGCATAGCTAGTAGCTCAGTTTCTAGGAGCTGGCCATGCAACTTACAATGAAGAAAAGGTCCATCTTAGCAGGGCTTCTGTCTGCAAATAGAAGGAGAAAAGGGTCTGATGTATAGAGCCTAGATGTGTAGGATTAACAAGTTTATTAGAAAGCAACACATAGCACTTCTTAGGGAAAATGCTGTCATCATTTTGGTCATCTTTGTCTCATGAAAGAAGTCTCTTGCTCTGCAGTTTTTAAAATTCTTAACATTTGATACCAGATTAGCATCTAAATAATTAATTTTGAAAGACCAATCTTGCTCCAAGTATATTATGTGGAGTAATCTTGTTTCTTAAATGAAGTGTTCATTCCCTGGGTTTATTAGAGTAAGGAGGAAGAATTGAAAGAACTGATGCAAAATTCATTAACATTTAGTGAGAGAGACTGCAGTTTTCCAACCCTGCATGTTATGTTAATAAATTCTGGATTAAATTCTGTCACTTCTAATAGAGTTTATCAACATGCTGAGAGTATAAAACTCTGTAAGTAAAAGGACTGTAAACATTTTTTAATCACGTGAACTTTGAAGTGAAGTTATTGCTTTCATTTTGCATTTAGGAAAGAAGTCTCATCTTAGGAAAACAACTGAGAAAAAACTTCCCACAAAAGAAACTATTGCCAAGCTACAACAGTCTGAAATCTGGAAAATGGAGAATGAGTTCTATGAATTTGCACTGGAGCAATTTCAGTTTGTCAGAGCACATGCAGTTCGGGAAAAAGATGGAGAATTGTATATTCTGGCTCAAAACTTTTTCTATGAAAAGATTTACCCTAAATCAAACTAAGAACACTATACTGTTAGATTTGTGGACCTAAATCTTTGGTCACATCATCATCTTAGTCCTCAGCAATGGAAACTAGATTGTTTGTAGACCTCCAAGACGTTTCTTTATAGATCTGAGAAAAGTGGGCTGTGGATCACCTCCAGGGCGTTGGATTCTGGCTAACAATGTTGGTAATCCAGAAGCAAAGGCTTCATTTCTTTTATGTAATACTTTCAATGGGAGTTAATATCCTTTACCTGAAGAAATCTACACTTTAATTTGGAGCAATTTAATACACAGCAGTTCTAGTTAAAAATATAAACAAAAAATGCTTCTGTTGATGCTCTTTTTAATTTTCAGAGCAATTTATTTTCATTTATACTTCTGTGAAGAGGAAGTCATTTTTACCAGCTTTCAACATGGAAATTTTGGTTATATACAATATGAGTAGTGTTAATAACTGGTTGACATCTGTTCTTTGTTTTTTGAATCATGTCACATGATATTAATTGGGACGGTTAATCATGTTCTGCTGAGAAATGCTGCTGCTGCTGGAATTGCCCATATTTATATATGTGGTTTTATTAAAAAATTACAACTAATCATTAGTGTTAAAACATCATTTCCACATTAATATTGTAAAAAGTTAAAGAATCAGAGCAGTGGGGTTGGTTTTTTTGTTTTTTATGCCCACGACCACTGACTGAGTTTGGGAAAACTACAAAGAAAGTTGGTATTGTCTGCAGTTCTAGTTGATCCTTACACAGTGGTATAAAAATCGTAAATTCAGTATTAAGTTTCTCCATGGATTCTTTGTAATAATTGTAAACTGAGGTATTGGTGAATCCATATTATGACTCCATTAGTGAGCTGTGGTATGGTTAGGGTTTTCCTACTACTTCAATACTTTTATCTGTAGAATATTTTTACTAAGGTGCTTTATAACGTGTTTTAAAGCATTGCATTTACAAAAGGAGTAAAATGCTGTAAATACTGCTTATTTTATGTATTTGGACCAAAAGGTTTAAAATAACTAAAGTGGTTTTTTTGCACCAGTTCTGTTACATGTGAAGTGAAAAACATCACATCTGCTTCCTGGTTGAGTTAACTGTTGGACATTGCTGAAATGCACTTCAGTGACCTCTCTGACTTCAATACCAGAATGTTGTCCAGGGATTCTCTTTACAGAAATGTAGTCTTCATCCTTTTATTATGGTAAGGGGACGAGAAGAAAAATGTCATGTGGAGTCTGGTTGAGAAAGATGCAGTGAACTTGATTGACATAATTGTATTTATGTAACTGCCTTATGTGACTATTGTAAATTTGTGAGTTGCCATTATGAACAATGTGAAACACCTGGTAGATGAAGTAAATTGAAATTTGAGAACAGATGTTTGGGGCCACTGCATTAGAGCAAACAGCAGTGGAGGAGGACAAGAATTTGTTTCCTATTGAATTTTCTTAAGGATCTGAGTATTTACACATCTTACACCTGCCTTTTCTTAAAGTGCTTTTCACAGGGTTTGATGGGGGAAGGCACTGAGGAGAGGAAGTACGGAATGATGGTAAAGGTTTAAATTCCTAAGAGATGATGCTGAAGGCTTAGTTTAAAATTACCAAGTGGAGTTTCTTTAACCAGCTTGTTGTTGTAGTGAAAACAAAGAAAATGGAAAATGGTCTGTGAACTGGATGTCTGCAGCCAAAAGAAACAGCCCAATTACAGAGAAGATAATGAGAGACTATCAAGTACATCTTTCATTTTCATTGTTTTCTTGGATTTTTCCCTTTGAATTTTAAAAATAGATCTCTCTCTGTTCTTCCCAAATAATCAGGGGAGTTCCTTCTGATAGTTTACCATTTATATAGCATGAACCATGCATAAGATTTCCTGTTCTAGTTGTTGTCAATTGACATCATTAATAATGCCAAAATGTTTGGGACTAGGATGTGTTAATTCTCACGTGAACACATCTAGCAAAAGAAAGGAACTGAGGACTCATACACAAGAAGTGGGTAATGGAGATCTAAAAATTTCCATAACAAAGCAGTAACTTTTTTGAAATAAAATGAATATTTATAATCCCAGGAAAGATTATCCACTCAGTGATAGTTTTGTGTTAGATTTTGACTATGCTGTTTTCCTTCAGAATAATTTGGATCAGTTTACCTTCTTGAGTTTTCTCCAGAATTTTCAGAAGAGCACCTCTAAGACAGCAGATAAGTTTACTAAGTGGAAACATAAAATCTTCGTCTAAGTAACGAGATAGGTATGTAGACAAATTCTTCTGTATTGACAAGAAAACAATAGACAAAACTTCTACTGGTGTCAGTGGGGTCTACAGAAACCTCTTCTATTCTGTAAGCAATTTTAAAAGTTGTGTTTCTTTTTTTTCCTTCTAGGATTTAGAATTTCTTAATTATGAGTCTTCAGTTAACAAAAATAATAGAACAATGCCTTTTTTTTTTTCTTTTAAAAGAGCAATATATTTATCAAAGTTCATGTAAGAAAACACATTTTATTTAATCAAATATCACTTCCTGGCCTTTGCTGTGAACTGACAGCGTTGAGACAAACCATAATTTTAGGAACATTTTTTAAAAATGGTAGCTACAATTAGAGAGGTATTCATTCCAGATGTACTCTGAAAATGTTGTTGTCTGTGGAACACAGAAGGAATCAAGACTGTCTACTTTTATATCTAGTGTAACCATTAAGACAACTGTGAACTTTAAGAATCCTTTGAATTCAGAACTGTCAAACTTGGATTTCCTAAAAGACATTTAGGAAAAGGAGCTTTACAGATTTTTAATAACGTGCTCTATTCATCTTCTATTTGGAAATGGAAACAATCCAAGTTGTTGGTATTAAAAATATTTTACAGTATATAAACAGAATTTATCTTGTGTATTTTCCCTTAATGACTTAGAGTGAAAAGCAGCAATACATGGATTTTTGTTGTTACAGGTTGTATCATCAGTAAACTTACTATGCAGCCTCCTGAACGTGGATCTTTTAACTGAAGCCACTGTGGTCTCTGCACAGGAGCGAGATTGGCTTTTTGCAGGGCTAAGTTTGTTTGAAAGGTGCTGAAATGCTCATATATATACATAGTTGAAAGTAGGTTTTGTTACACTGTTCTGTACTTTTTGTACAAAATTAACGCCTAGATTTTGTGCAAAACTGTAGCCCTGTTGGAACTCTTAATGTCAGCATAATGGCACTAGGTCCAGCTGCGCTGGTAACTACATAGCCATAACCACAGCATGCCTGGAGCACTTGTGATACACTGAGCAGTGTTGACAGCAGAGTAACAGTGTTTTTAGCTCCTTCCCATTATAATTCTGCCACCATGCAACAAGAATTTCACTCTTACTTTGTTAGTGTGTCTATAAGCAGACACAAAGCTAGGGTGCAGAATGTCCTATGTGCCCATTCCCACTTGCTCCAGGTTGATTTTCAAGCAGTCTCTCTATTAATGGTACGCTGATCATGGCTTCACTTTCAAACAGGCCTGAAAATTTATAGCTATACAATACAGGAGAGGAAGAAGCAGCCTATCCTGGTCATTTGAAATGCCTTTTCTGGGTACTTAATTTTTCTGAAGATACTTAGCTATTTTTACTTTCCAGGAATAAACATTTGCTTATTTATGGTCTCAGAGCAGTTCTATTTTATATCAGGGAAAATTCAGTTATTTTCTGTTATAATTCTGTTTAAATTTTCCATTAAGCTTACCTGGCATTGCTAAATATGTATATGACAAAAAGGTGTATGGATGACGCTATCTGAATTGTGCTGCTTAAGCAGTTGGTGGAAAAGCCCAATTCAAGTGCACTGCCAATTTAGCTCTTCAAAATTAGAGCATATTTTATGACTACTAGAGATTAAACTTAAGGAAACTGTAGGGCTGCTTAGTTGGATGGATGCTTCCTTTACTGTAAGCCTATGCAACTATGTAACCTGTACAGCAGTATTTATAGAAAGAGCCCTCTTCCTAAGACTTTTCTGGAGCATAATTATAAATGTTCATACACTTGTACTGTCTGATATTTACATTAGCAGCTTTCTGTAGCTTCTGTTAAAAGACACAGGTTTGTGAGCATTTCTAAGGCAGTACTGAATGTAATTTTGAAAAACATGGATTGTGCTTCATGACTTTTTTCTTTTTAAACACACACAGCTAAATAGTGCCTTTTTTCCTCACAATCCATGTTGAAGATGCTCGGTCCCACTCACCCACAGTAAAGTGATTCATTTGTGCAATACTATTCCAACTTGAAACCATTTTGTCACAGCTGTTTAAGAAATAATCTCCATTTTTCCTTACTATGCTGCCAGCTTTCTGTTGTTGAAGTGTTTCAGTTGATTACCTAATGCAAATGCTAAAAATAAAACACCCAGTGGGAAGGGGAAAGAAAAGAAGTTTGGTGTCCTGTCTTAATATTTGCATGTCACATTCACATTAAATGTTTTTTTTCTAGAAGATGTTATTATGCAGTATTGTGAACTTCATTTGCAGCTATTGTGATTTTGGAGGGGAGGGGCAAGCTAGAGTGTAGCTTGCCTGTAATAATTTCATATAACTATAACCGAATATATAGACCTTTAGAATTTGCTTTGGGCTTTCTTGGCCAGAAATGTAATAAATTTGCAGAGGGTATACCATGTTCTGAAAGTGTCTATGAAAAGTTCTTAATACTAAAACCGAGATTTGTAAGAATATAAAACTGGCATTAAAACAATGCAGTGATACATATGTGCATCCCTGGCTGGGAGAACAAATGACCTGACCGATTACTGTGGTACTGGAAGACGCTCAGTTATTGCAGTGATAAGTATGGTATGAGAACTTGAGTAGAATAGAAATGTCATTTGCATTTGTAAGCAAGCACTTAAAACAAGAAAATATAGCAAGCATGGGTATGGTACTCTGTTCAGGATTAGTGATGCGTACTGTAACCATTGCCCTATAAACATTCCTAGCTGCACGCACTATGGAGCTGAGCCGTCATCTGACCCATCCAAGTTTCTTAATGCGATAGTTCCTGAATATTTAGTTGTCAGCCTTGATGATTAAGAACCATCATACAGTTACTCAGCAACTCCCACTTGCAGATTTTGATGGCTTTGGAATCACTTTTTGGTTGAAAGTAGACTTTTCCTTACTTCCATCAGTGGAAGTGATAGGTGTAATTGTGCAAAGGAAACGAAGTCTCTCTGCTTATATCAGCCAGGGGGAAGTGGAGGAAAAAATTGCCTGTATAAAGGTACAGGACTTGCTAAGGTCACTGCACCTCTTTCTGAAATGATGTAGTAAACAAAATGACAGCCAAAAAAAGTTACAATACAAAAAATGCTTTATTTAAAATCACAGTAGCTTTTCCTTTGAAAGACAGAATGACTGTAGTGTTACAGGTATGTGTTCAATACTGGTGGAACAATTTTTTTAACTGATGTTGCCATTTGCGCAGGTAATTAAATCTCATCGGTTCGAATTCATAGGAGGGGAGTGAAAG